CCATTAGCCGGGTTTCTTTTACTTTATAAAGACATCCTTCGCCATTTCTCAATATTCAACTCTTCTGGTGAGTATATGATACTTCTGATTCACGGCTCCAGGCGTCAGCGCGCGTTTATCGACATACATGACCGAAGCTAGTGGAAAGTGTGGAGAGCTTGTAAAATGCGTCAGAGTTGCTATATGGACAGCCCAGAGCAACTCTAGATCCTATAATAACTGAGTCATCCCAAAAGTTACGAACTCTGTTAGCCGGCTCTAAGTATTTTGTTACGTGGGATCAACGCGCGCAATCATCCCGCGCAATCATCTCGCGGGGTCAGGGGATGCTGCAAGGGTAGCCAATTAGAGGACAGCAACCGCTTGATGTTATCTGCTCGCGGGTATAGAAACTCTTTACATCCACTGATTATAAAATGGTCATCCCATATTTAAGGCTATTTTTACTAAGGCTTTTAACACCCAAGACCTTTTTAGCAATTCTTCTTTCCCGTAGCTGATTTTTTTTGTGTTGATCAGTTGGGGTGAGTTGAGGTTTTTAGGTTTGTGCCCTTTGTCCTCAGCTGATTGCTGGATAATGATCTAACGTAATGAAAGGAAGTGATATTTTGATCACTCCTCTCAATACCCTGGTCCCAGAGGTTCTCTTCTCTCTAAAAAAAAATATGATAAATCTCTTCTCACTAAAAATATCGGCGCTTGGCGCCGATATTTTTAGGGAGAAGAGATTTATCCTATCTTTTTTTAGGGAGAAGAGAACCTCTGGGACCAGGGTATCCTCTCGACAAAAGCTCGGTTTCTAATGTAATCACACAGATTAGATATCGTTATCCAGGGGCATCTCAAGTATTCGAATTAAAGTACTGTAGTTTCTTTATCCTTCGAAAGTAGTCGCAGTTGAAAATGAGTAGGCTACGTTATGACAAAAATGTTTTCCTCTAGCATTCACGAATATTCTAACTGTCTTGCACAGCTCCTTTGATTCTACTTGATTCAAGCATACAAGTTCCGAAGCTCTGGGCTTACCTCGCTGGAAACATTGTCACGCAATACATCTGCATCCGCAGCGTATATATTCTGACGTCGGAATGCACTTCTTTGACTGTCACGCTGGTTGTCACGCTGCGAAAGTTCACGAGCTTGATGTTTTCAATCTTTTACTTCAAAAATCCCTTTACACTGTATCACTGGTGTGGGACGGTGCTGGTGTTTGGGGGCACTTTGATCTTCGTAGAATTGGCCAAGAAGATTCGGGAAGCTTTGGTGCCACAGAAAGAGACAAAAGTCGACTGATTGTCTTTGTGATGGTACAGAAAGAGACTTGTTTGTATTCTGGAGTCATGTAGAATATCAGAATGATTTACGCTGAAGTATAGTTTAATGTTGTTTTCTTGTATTTCTCTCTTTGTAATCGAACGTTTTCCACGTTCAAATTCTGGTTAATGACACCTTTTTCGTTTAATTTCTGCTAAATGTTGCACGTTTCTTTAACATTCCTTTAAATGGCTTTAAGTAGTTTGCCGAGAATCATGCAAGCATAAACTAGTGCGATACTTGATTTCCCTCTCATTACTTTCAATGAGTCTTTGGACGATAAGATTAGTGATGACCTAGTAATGGCTTAACCCACCTTACAGAGTTTTGTGGTTCAATGAAAGTGCATCGAAGCGCGGTATCCAACGGTCTGAGGTTTGTTAGCTGATGGGGACTCCAACTTTTTCTTTGTCCCAGACAAAAAAATCATCTCTCTTTATTTTTATTACCCAGCTCAAAATTACTTTGATCTTTGTTATTCTATCTAATTTTATCTCTAAGCTGTCTATACTTGCAATCCTGTCAGCAGGGCATACCAACATGACGTTGAGATGTTTTTCCTCCATCAAGAGATCTGTGATATTTGTTATCATACCCAACAAAGAATTATTACTACCAGAAATATTCCAACTAATATATTTGAAGTTATTCTTGTAGACAGAAAATCAGATATACTATCCAAAATTTAGAGTTATCATGTATGCCCTTATGGTTTCCATGGGAATTATAAGTATTGTTGTTTAATGTATTTAACTTTTGAGAAAAAGAATTGAGTCTTCTGTTGAAGTCACATTGATGTATTGTAATTTGAACAAAGTCAGGAACAGTTTTGTCCTCTGATAACTTCATATTCATGTTTGAATTGAGTTTAACTCAGTCAAATCTTATGGCTAGTCACTCTGGTCGTGTAAGCATGGTTCGGCTATCATAATTTTAACATAATTTCTCTTAGTTGCTAGAACCAGCCGTTCTCTTCTGAACGGCCCACTAAAATCTCAAGCTTTTTTGTCCCTCGTAGTCTCTTCACTTTCTGCCGATTGTTCCCAACATCGTCGGTCTGCTCATTAAAATTTGAAAATAAATGGTAGAAAACTTCACTCGATTTCAATGAAACAAGAAGTTTTACAAATCTTTGTTCTCTAAGTCTTTATTATCCTAAAGATGTGTGAGAACTTCTAACTTTTTAGCAAAATGACTCTTTTTCGATGTTAGTAGTAGTAGTAGTTCTTTATTTAATGTGGCACCACACGTAGCTACAGGCTACTTTCCAGGAAGCCCACAACAAAATATTCACTAAAAAATTACAACCTACATCAAGAGTTATGTACATTAAGTAAAATATTATTATAAAAAGGATATCGCAAATTTAAATATATATTTGTATACATGTGTAGTAAAACAGAGATCAAAAACTGAATACAAAAGACTTAACATTTCAGGCGACGGATATCGTGAAGAAAAGTTCTTGTGCCAGCCTTTGCGCGCTAGCATCTGGTAGCGCGTTCCAAGTCTTAGCAGCAAAATAACGAAATGACTTAAGACCAGGCTTGGTACTTTTAACCTTAGGTAAGGAAAGCATGTTAGTGCCTCTTAAATTGTAATCAGTCCTCCTTGGTTTAACTAAGTCTGTAAAAGGTCTGGGAGCCTTATTTTGAAAGCAGTTATTGACCGTTAGCAACATGTCTTGAATCCTACGACTCTTCAGTGTCGTATTCAAGGCGATACAATCGAGCAATTCTTCATATGAAATAACCTTATCTTTATATACATATCTAAGCGCACGTTGATTTACCCTTTGCATTTTCGTTGTATTCCTTTCCCCACAGTGGTGCCATATCTGGCTACAATAATCAAAGTGAGGTAAAATAAATGCGCGATAAAGTGCTTCCTTGGTTTTAAGAGGCAGGATATTTTTGAGCCTATTTAAAGCATTAACCTGACCCGCCATCTTTCAACAGATTGATGCAACATGAGCATCAAATCTCAGCTTGTCATCCGATGTTACACCTAATAATTTTATCTCACTGGAAATAGGGATTGGCCTCCCTGCGCATTCTAACTGGAAATCACAATCAGTGTTTCCTAGCACCAAACCATGATATTTGTCTGGATCGGCTACCATCCCATTCTGTCGAAACCATTATGTTGTACTGGCTAAGTCTAGGTTTATACCTTCTGTCAATGCTCGGGGATCATGGTTTGATAAATAGAGTTAAGTGTCGTCTGCACAACTAAGAAGTCTACAATTCTCCACCGCAGATATGAGGTCATTCATGAAGATGTTAAACAATGGCGGTCCTAGTAATGACCCTTGTGGTACTCCGGTATGCACACCCATCCACGTGGAGAAAGTATTCCCCAACTTAACCCGTTGATATCGGTAGGATAAATAACTACGAAAGAGTAAAACGGAATTTTTTCACGTCCATAAAAATTAAGTTTCTCAAGGAGCAGATCGTGGGGAAGGCAACTAAGCGCCTTGCTAAGGTCGATCGCAACCGTTCCAATAATTTTGTGCTTGTCAAGTTCAGCTCTCCAGTCCTCTGTTAAGGCTAAAAGAGCTGTGGGACAACTGTGTTTTGCGATAAGCAAACAAATAGTCATGAAATATTGATTGAAAATGCTCAGTCAAATGCATGTGAATAATTTTCTTAAATACTTTGGCAAAAGCAGGCAATACGTTGACCGGTCTGAAATTTGTCTTGTCTAAGGCACTACCAATTTTGTGAAGTGGTGTAATTTGGCCTCGTTGCCAGTTATCCGGAGCCTGTGCTGTTTTTATAATGAATTAACTGAGTCGCTTAGAGGCTTTGCTATAGAGCCAGGTGAAGCTTTAACAGCCTGTGGTGGAAAAAAGTCGTATCCCTGTGCTTTGTTAGTCTTGATATCTTCAAGTACCGTTTTCACAACTTGATGGTTAGTCAACTGAAAACTAAATGCATTGGCTGCTTCATTGTTTACCCCAGGAATTCTCTTTAAATGAGTCTGATCACTGAAAGCACTGTGATCATGAATAATTAAATCCTTCGTGATGTTAACAAAGTACTCGTTAAAAGTTTCACCAACTTCACTCTGGTCCCTGATGATTCTGTCATTGTCTTTGAGAACAATAAAGTCCTCCGACCTGTGTTTTCTGGTATGCATTAAAGGCCGCAGTGATTTCCAGAAAGCCCTCGGATTACCCGCTCGCGAAGTCCATAGCTGATCAAAATGATGTATTATAATAGATTGACGACGCAGAGCAACCACACGATTTCTTTGACACCTGTAGGCCTCCCAGTCATTTGCTGATCGAGTTCGATAAAATTTACGCTTGAGAGCATTTCTCTTCCACATAGCTTTTCTTGTTTCTGGGGTAATAAATTTCGATTTTCCAGGGACATCCCTAAAACGTTTAGATTTCATCGGAGCATGTTCTTCAGTCATTTGAATCGTTTTAGTCAACATGTCTTGAAAACGTTTCCCAAACCAATCATACACTTAGTAGATTACTGTTTCAAGAAAGGTTGTCGGAAGTAAAGGACAAAAGTACACGTGACAATCTCGAAAGGTAATCTTGGTATCTGGTAATCTATGAGTTTTATGAGTGAAATAAATAAAACTCCTCAAACTCAGCATACCTCGTCCTTACAGCAACGTCTCCTCAGATTTCCCTGAAATCCTGAGGCCAAGGAACCGTGACCTTAAAAATACCCACAATACCTTTTGGAGTTATAGTATGCACTTTATGCTTTTTTTCCGACGCTCTTTTCAAAACAGCTGTATATATCGACTAGCTTCTTAGTTAGTTCTCCAAGTGCCAGATTATCCTTTCCTTATCGAATTTGTGGCGCGCGCTTCGCGCGTAGGCCAGTAATTGAATCGGAAAAAACTCGGTCCATAACTTATTATTCGGACCTCAAATTTATTAAGAAGGATTTACATCATTTTATTGTGCATGGTCTTAGAACAATAGATTTTTAGAATAGGTGGTATCCCTAAGTTCATCTCTCATCGGTCTGAAGTCATAATATGAAACTATCGAAATTCTTTAACAACTGTAAGACAGACTGGAGAAATTATGCATCGATTATTTTATTGATTAGGTTTGTTCGATTATAACATCATATTTCGGAAAAAAAAACCATCAATCATAAAGATATCGCTATGAGAATAAGGGGTGGAGAGGTCCTGGGTTCAAATCCCCTACATACTACATAAGTAGGGTTCACTACTGCGACGATCACTTTCATACGTTGAATTTGAATATTTTGAGATATGTTGGCATCTCCAACCAAATGTTGATTTTGTCAAGTTTTATTTACTCGGAGATTATCACGAATTCAATTCTTTTTCCAAAAACGATTAACATCTCTGGTGAGGACTTTTCCTATTTAGCTTACTGAGACTGATAAAGATTCCTTTCAGAACCACACACATGGTGTAGATGAACTATTTGTCGTGCCAGAGTTAATAGACTGGCCGTGCTAACTCTGGTCTTGCTAAGAAATAATGGCATTAATTAGCTTTTTTTGACTTAAACAAGGACCCTGACTATAAAAGGGATAGCTCCTCCCCCGTCTTGTAACGCAATCTTTGCTTCCATGGCTAATCGAAGATGGCTGACTAATGGAAGGTGAAGGGGGAAAAAGAGATTTGTACACGAAGACCGATATCCTTGTCTTGTTTCAATTGATTTCCACTTGAAAATGTTTTTATTGACGATTAAAAAGGGACGAATGGAGAAATACTGATCTTCATTTGCAAAACTCAAAAAATTAGGCTATCGCAATTTGAATTTCGCGCTCCTAACGGCTCCTCCTATCGCGAGATGGTCGTACTGGCCCTCTGACTCCCCTCCGTTTGCCTCAACTTCTTGAGCCGTCGATATCATTGACTAGAGGATCTCAGTACTGTGACATGCTCAGAGAGAGTGGTTTTCATGTACATATATGTACATTT